GGAAGGAGCTGCCTAGATCGAATCATGTCGATGACCTCCTGGTTGTTGTACCCATAGTAAGGTTGGAGTCCATAACTAAAAGTTTCCCATAGAACTACTCCAAACGACCACACATCACTTTCTGTGGTAAATTTTCCATACAAGACAGACTCTGGAGGCATCCATCTGACAGGTAACAAAGATTTGGACTGAACTCTGTAATAATCAGAAGAATAGATATCTCGGGACAGACCAAAATCAGATATTTTAACCTCAATCCCCTCACCCACTAGACAGTTCCGAGCTGCCAAGTCACGATGAACATAATGATTGCTAGCTAGATATTCCATTCCATCAGCAATCTGCTGTGTGATGTGAAGAAAATCTGACAGTTCCAGTATCTGATATACTTTGTCCTCACTGCTTCCCACACATGAACGAGGGGAGTGCGAGATCAAATACTCATGAAGATCACCCTTCGGCATGTACTCGAACAACAGACAGAGAGGTTCCTCTCGTGTGCAAGCCCCCAGCAAACAGACAATATTGGGATGATGTAGGTCTGACATCAACTCTGCTTCACGCTGAAAATCTTGCCGAGTTTTGAATGTAGCATTTTCCTTCAAGGTTTTTATGGCAACAAGTTTGCCACATCCAGTTCCTTGAGCACCTACCAACTCTCCACGATAAACCTTTCCAAATGCTCCTTCTCCAAGTTCCTGAAGAAAGTGGACAGCAGAAAGAGGATACTCAGGTGTTGTGAATTGTGCTTTGGGTAGTAGAGAATTCATCTCTACCTGTTGGTTGCTTTGTAGTTGGCTCACTGGTTTAGAAGTTGGCAGGTTGAACTTTGTTCTTTGTATCATACACCAGATACCAAGTAACAACACAATAAAGAACACTAGGACTATGCTTGGAAGAAGGATGTACAGCCACAGGTAATCTACTGCAGAGGAAAAAAATAAATGTTTTGAAATTAGTAAAAAATAAAATTGACTAATCAAAATAAAAATGTCTGATTCCTACAAATTAAGTTTTAATCTTTCAATAATAATAATAATTATTGTTATTATTTAAAAAAATAGCTGATACAAATACATTGAAAAGTATTAAATCCAAAACTTATATTTAGTTTGAATTTCATCATTCATATAAAGACATATTTTACACTTTGAGAAATGAAAAATTTACATAAATTACTTAT